AGTCATCTCCAATTGCTGCTGCTAATTCCTGCATCACCTCCTCGGACAAATAATGTTTGTGTACAAGTTTGCATATGATAACATTGTGGCCAAAATTCCTTTAACTCCTTTAAGTACCAGGTGTTAATGCAATGGCCTGTGATCAGTTATCATTATCTATATAAAGTATTCAGATACAGAACACAGCTTAAAACCAGGTGCAGTTCATTTCTATTTCTTATTGGGTTTTAAAAACAATCCAACAAACTATTGGTAATCTTTGTTGTTCTTTTTGAAGTGGATGGAGTTGACCTGCTTATTGTTTGCTTACTTTTTTAGAAAAACTCTACTATCTTCTTCTACTCCACTGCATTTACTTCACTATATACAGTATATCAGACGGCTTAAGTTACAAGTTACTCTACATATTAGAGTACGGCAAAGTTTAGGTCAATTTGAAGTGTTGAAGTGAAATGATTTACACATTACTGAAGATTTTATGTTTTCTTTTAAAATAATTGTAATATATAAACTGTTGACATACAGCGTTTAATCTTTTAACATAGAACAATTACATTCAGCTCTTTCTTCTACAGTGACCTTCCTGTGTCCTCCTCCTGTGTCGCAGAGAAATGGAAACTGCCACATGGATGCAAGCTTGAAATTTGAGAGTAAGTACCCCATAATAACTTAAAAAAGAAAAGTCAGCAGAATCCTGCAGATATTATTCTTCATGGCGACACACCAATAACAGATATTCTGAATTTGAAAACCTAAGCTCCTGTGACTGAACACTTTCTGGACTTAAAGGTCTCCTATCATGCTATTTTTAGGCATATATTCTGGGTCTCAGATATATACAAATATATAAAAAACATGTCTATGATGTGTTTTTGCTCAAAATACCCTCTGTTTCAGCCCTGTTAGAGAAATGCTGATTCAGGGTCCTTAGCTTGAAAACAAGAGCGGAGCTAATGCCTGCTCAGAATTACACGAGATACTCAGCTAAATGCTCCCGTGATTAAATGCCATATCATGTTCCAAACCACATCAAGGATTATTTCTGAAACAGTATGGAACTCAAATGCTTTTTCTCTCTCAGGTTTACCACAAGGTGAGGGGTGGCGGCGTGTGGCACAGTGGGTTGTGCGTTGGTGTTCGGATCAGGGGGTCACAGGTTCAAACCCCTCTGCAGCCAGCATGTCGTTGTGTCCCTGGGCAAGACACTTCACTCCAAATTGCTCCTGTGGGGATTGTCCACAGTATTGAGTATGTAAGTCGCTCTGGATAAAAGCATCTAACAAGTGACATGTAATGTAATGTGAGTTCCTTTTTTTATTTCCTGCTTTTTTACACATACTCTCTCCAGTACAGGTTAGCTCTGAGTGTTAGCAATGCTTGCTAATGTAAACAAACACCATATTACGTCCAAAACACGCCAGGCATTGGGCCGTGGGCGTAAAGCCAGCCCACATTTCCGATATTACGTCATATCGGACGCAAATCTGGATCAGCTCAGTTGTTCCCCCATTTTTAGAGATTTTGGTACGGAGGAAAAGAGAGAGGGTTTTATTTTCTGACACTTTGTGTCCCTGACACACCGGGGACACATATTTATGTATAAAAGACATCAAAAAGTGCATTTTGCATGATAGGTCCCCTTTGAGGCTGAAATTTATAGTAAATATATTTAGAGTAGTGACATGTATCCAGCTGGGAGGAGAGCAACATGACACTGGGACTCTAGACATCACCTCCCAAACCACAGTTCATTAAAAGAGACACAGAGAGAGGACGCTCCTCCTGTCTGGGAAACGTGTTGAAATAAAAGATCTAACTGTAGAGATGTCAGAAGATTTAAAACATCTTATTTACAGTTAGCTCAACACTTTTGGGAAAGACACTTTTTCTCGTTCTTTTTGAGACTGAGATAGATATCAATCTCATGTCTGTGTTAATGAAGAGCTGGAGTCATGAGGGGTTTACCTAGCTTAGCATACATCTCAATCTTTATTTATTTATATAGCACATTTAAAACAACCTCAGTTGACCAAAGTGCTGTACAGGGAACCAATACAATATAAATAACACAATAGGAGCATAAACACTTGAAACGTATGGACACAGCTAGCCTGGCTCTCTCCAAAGCACCTGCAGCTCCGAGGGTGTATTCTCATGTTTCAACTCTGGCTTTAAATTCTCCTCAAGGAATTTGAAAGTATATTTCATTGGAGGTAAAAGCTCAGTGACCGTCATGTTGCTGCAGAGCTGCAGTAAATCCCCTCCGACTGACTCACAGGAGGCTGAGCAGCAGATTGCATCAACACATGTTCAGAGAGCCAGGACCACAGGCTTTGTTTTAATAACACTCTCCAAAATCAAATGTTTGCATAGTGATGTGCACAAACTGAAGTGTGAAGTAGACAAAAACATGCAATAAGACACACAAGGTGGACAGGTGGCACTAGAAATGTTAACATGCTGAACTTGCAGGTGCAAACACTGAAACATGTCTTTAAATGTTAATATTTTTGCTATAGAAGATTGTATGGAGGTTGCAGTTTAAATTGAAGTGTTCAAAGGAATCTGCGCTGCAAATATCAACCCAGAACGGAAATGGAAAGCAGCAGAAATATAACTTGTCCTGGGAAACAGCTTGAAAGTATAGAGTTTAGTTTAACTAAGGCTATAATAGAAATGGATGAAAAGGCTGCATGTTAAACAGAGGGATAGAGAATAGGGAGGCAGTTAAATATGTTTTAAAGTTTGGTCTTAACTCAAGTAAACATGCACAGTTAGTCATCATGCAGTCACAAAAACAGATCCAGAGACACACCCTGTCGGGGGGGGGGGGAATAAAGTAAGAAAGCAAAATAGAGTGGCGAAGTCACGTCCATCTACTTCCGGTCCATGGGACCTTATTTCTGAAAAAGTATGTATTGAAGTCAATGGAGAGAGAAAACGTATCTTTCGATCCCGTTTGAATTGTGCCATGAATTACACATATGATGTTTGTCAATCATAAAAAATCATTTCCATGTCAAAAAAGTCACAGTTTGTCGTAAAACTGTTGAAATATAAGACTATGAAAAGTACGCAACTAGAAAGACTACAAATCCCAGAGTCGCGTAAGTGATGTCATAATTGTTTTCCTCCACTAAATAAGAGATAGCTAAGATAAGATAACTTTAACAAGATGCCTGTGTGCTTAGTACCAGGTTGTTATTATACCAGCAATGGGCCTTGCTCGTTCTTTCGCTTCCCGTCTGATGAAAGGACCAGGAGTGGCTGGATCAAGTTAGCTACCTAGCTAGTAGCAAGCACGTTAGTTAGCATTACAGCCTTAGCCTTGTCATTTTTATTAGCCTTAACATGAAGTAACATTAAGTAACCCAAAATGTTAAACAGTAGAGTAGTAGTCATATTTCGTGAACCCTTTGAAGAGTACTGTCACACCGGTGTGATCATTCTATAATACACAATTTAAGCCCGGGGGAGAAATGCTAACGCTACATTAGCATCGGCGATCTTTTCTACTTCATGCTATCTGCACAAATGGTTGACATTAAACATTAAAAAGATCAGGCAGTTCAGAGAGAATCAAAGGAAGGCAGGCAGCTTTGCATGACTTTCTTCTGGACGTCTTTCATTGTGGTGATAGTGAGGGTAGTCAATCCCTTTTTTTGGCAAGACAGTAGTGACGGCCATCTTGGTGACGTGTGTTGTTGGGCGAGACCAGAGATGTAGTTCATTGAGCGTTTCACACACAAAAAAGTGTTACTTCACAGTTTTACGACACATTTTAATTTTTTTGACTTGCAAAATTATCTTTTAAATGACAAACATCATATGTGTAATTCGTGGCACAATTCAAACGGGATCGAAAGATAATCTTTCTCTCTCCATTGACTTCAATACATACTTTTTCCGAAATAAGGTCCCATGGAGGTCCACCGGAAGGGGAGGGACTTCGCCACTCTATAGACATGTAGGAGGAAAGAAGGAAGGAAGGAAAGAGCCAAGCAAGGAAGGGACGCGAGAGAGAGCGTCCCTTCCTAGAGCTAAAGGACGCGAGAGGGAGCTAAAGAAGGAGATAGGGAGCTAAAGGAGGAGAGAGGGAGCTAAAGGAGGAGAGAGGCAGTTCCACCCTGAGTGACGGAGGAGGGGATTTCTGCTGAAGCTAAATGACAAACAGATCCAGTCAGAACTTAATGCAGTTACCTCTCCTCCACACTGACCTCGGATTACATACACACACAGAATATATTAAGGAGTTATTATTTTCTTCATTGTAGCATGAAAGTAATGGCAATTTTGAAAGCCTATGTTGTTGTTTTTCGTGAAGGATTGTGAGGTCTGTTGATGTCGGCAAAAAGCTAACAGCGCCCATACCAAGTTGCCAAAAGGCAGCCCCTCGCTCAAATGTCACCTAGAGGTCTGGAAATGGGTAGGCATGGGTAGCATGGTGAGAAGCACAAAAAAGCCTTTTGGAGGTATATCTTAAACCCAACAGGAAGTCGGCCATATTGTATTTTATGTGCCATTTTATTTTCATTGAAGGAACGAATGAAAGGAGCAATAACATACCTTGAGTATGGAAGGTAAAAAGCAGGGGAAGTAGACCTTGAAGGAACAAAAGAAAGAAATTAGGGTATTTTTAATAGTAGTTTAGTGACCTTGAGGGGAAAAAGACCTGAGGATGAGGAGAAGAAAGAAAATAAGGATCTTAGTAGTTCAGCGACCGGAGGAGACATGAGGATCTCTCTGTTGTTGTTTTCTGAAACTCACCCCGACTCATTAGCCTCACTCTAAAACTGTGCGGTAACAAACAAGTCTGTAATTAAACCAGCGGTTCTGAGTCCATTTAGCTTGAGTGGGAGCAGAACAGCTGGAGAGAATATTCACACCAAGAGAAACACATTAATTATGACCTTATATTAAATATAACCTTATATTAATATGACTTTAGAGGCAGTGGTCTTTATCTTTGAGACTATTAAGGTGAAATAAAAGGAGAAGGATGCTGACAATAGTTTAATTTTTCACATGAGAAGCTATCAAAAATAGAAATGTTTTACAGAAATGACTTTGTGCAATGAATGAATTTGAAATATGTTTTCCTTAATCTTTCATGCCTTCTCACAATGGTGTTAACATGCTGCCTCCACCTGGCAGCGGCACACATTCACACATCTGCAGACACACACTTATAGGACATATACAACCCCACTGCGTGTGCGCTGAGGCAGGACATTGTAGATTTTTTTCTAATTCAAACTTCGTGAAAACTCTTATTTTCACACATTTCTTAAGTATGAAAACAGCAGATACAGAGTCATAGTAAACAAACAAGGCCATAACAAACCGAACAACCAACCACAACCTTTCTAATAAATAAAAAACTATATTTCACCTTCAGTTTAAATATCAGAGTTCTTGGAGCACCTTCATCACAACAAAACTGTTTAGGAATGATTTGTTTTCTACTACTTCTAATCAGATGGATATTTCATGGTAAAACTTCAAAAACATGGATAATGCTCGTACACCCTGAATAAGCTGTGTGTGTCTTTAGAATTTCACACAAGAAATAGTCCCCTGATGGAAAGCTTTTAAACGTTTTGCAAGAAAAATGTCTTCATAACTTTTACAGTATGTTCCCGAACAAGAGCAGCTTCCTTCCTCTCATTCAAACTCACCAGCACTAATGACCTCTACTTTTTTTGGACGTAAACTGGTTTGGAAATAAAATTAAGTGTTTTTGTAAGCCGACCCTGAAGTTAGCATCTCTAGATTTGAGATTTGTGCAGAAATAAGATCTGTGGCAAACACACGGTTATGATACTTCCACGTTTCGTTCAGCAGAATCATCATTATTGAAGCGTAAATGCAATCCCCAGAAGTACATCACAGTCACATGACTTCATGTCACCGACGCTAAGCTAAAGGCCGCTAATGATTGCCATGTTGGCATTTCAACACTCGTTAGCAACCACTGATTTTTTAGACACGTTTGAGCTTCAGACATCCTAAGTGGGATATTTGTCGTAGAACAAAATGTGAAAATCGCCCTCAGATTGTGTTAACACCTTATTTCAGACATCCAATCAATAACACATAAAAAAACCCACACTGAAAAACTGACACGTTGGCTTTAAGGGTATTGTGTCAACAGATTTCACACAAGTGTATTAAGTTAGTTTAAAGCAACAATATCAAGTTGAACATAATATTTTTCAATTCAACGTAATATTGCTTTCAACTAACCGAACACAGTTATGTGAAATAACACATTTAATTAAAGTCAATGTTTCAGTTTTTTCAGTGGATTGACTTTGAGACACGGGAACCAGAAGAGCTAAAACGCTGACTTATCCCCTGGTTTAAGGACTCATTCCTGCACCACTCTGCTGGCTTTCCAACTCTGCCTTTTTTTGGAATTATTTCACTATATCTGTTTTATTGTGTTGCACTGTTGGAGGAGCCTGTGACCTGAGATTTTCATTGTCATATCTACACTGTAGCTATGTACACATGACAATAAAAGCCTTGAATCTTGAATCCTCATAACTCCAGTAATCAAACACCACAGGGAACGTTGCTGTCTCTGTTCCCCTTGAAGCTGACATGTTGTACAAACACATTTTCACATTAACACAACAACAAAAGCAAGAGGCACGCTGATCAAGTGTTACAGGAGGTCATGTGATCCAGGTGAGTGTCAGGTGTTATCAGTGAAGACTTGTCCCAGTATGGAGAGCCGGGCGCTGAACGGCTGAACGGGACAGGACAGCAGAGGGGAGGTCTTCTTCTCGCCTGGTTTTAAAGCAATGCTCTCTGATGGTCCGTGGGGAGGGTCTTCAGTGTGTTTGGCGGCGGGCTTTGATCTGGACTTCTTCTTCTCTTTGGGCAGGCTCAGCAGGATGTCTCTGAGCTCCTGGCGGTCCTGGGCGTGCCGGCTGCAGCAGTACAGCGCCGCCGGGTCCAGAGGGTGGGCTTCGGTGTTGAAGATGAACCCCCCCGCCCCTAAAACACACTGCCCGTCCTCGCCCCCCTCCTCCCAGGACCCGTCCCCCTCCGCTGCCCCGCCGTGCAGGAAGTGGGCGGGGTCAAAGAGCAGGTACAGGTACTTGATGGTTTCAGCGAGAAAGAAGGACTCCATCCTGTTGTCCAGCTGGTGATCCCGCAGGTCTTTCACCTGCACGGAGAATATCTCATTTTAACACCTTAAAACATGTATTTTGAAAGATTTATGTTCTTGTTCAGCTAATTCAAAAAGTATAATGAAATATGGCCCACAAATGAGCCTTGTGCTATACATGTAAAAAGTATTACACAGTATGTGTGTGTTAATAAAAAAACAAACACTTTCTAAGTTGAGAAAAAGCCCAATAACTTATTTACATAACAAGCTTGAAATAGACCCTTCCTATTTCCTCTTATAAGCAATCTGAGGCTTCTGTTTTCAGGAATGAACTGCCAAACAAATAAATGAAACCGTATGGAGAGCTGAGATTTAAGCAGTTTTTTTCAATATTTATATTTGATTGATTTCGCTAACTTAACTTATAAGGCAATAAACCTCCAGTGAGTGGCCCAGCCCTTCGTATATTTTTCTGTATTTGACCCTCGGAGAGAAAAGTTTGGACACACCTGTTTTAACACAAAAAGTACACCTAAGGGCCATTGTGTAGTATTTAGGGGGGTCTTCTAGCATAAAATGTATAATTGTATTGTTATTTTCATTTGTGTAAAATCACCTGAAATGAAGAAAATGTTTTTGCTCCTTAAATGATCCCTTCATATCTACATTGGGAGTGGTTCCCCTTCCACGGATCCTGATTTGGTTCAACAGTAGCTCAGACAACATACCTAACTCTGACTCTAGAGGGAGCTATTCACATTTTCACATGACCTTTTTGTCGAAAAATGCATGTAAAACTGTGATAAAACTGTGAAAATACGAGTTTCGTTGCTTGTTTGCTTCTAAAGTAGTAGGTAAGTAAGACTTGGTTTATAAAGCACCTTTTAAAGTTATTTATTTATATTTAAAGATAATGATAGAATAATCACGTTTTGTTAACGATTTAAAAATATTGCAATTATTGCAACATGAAATTTGGTTCAGAGGACCAAAGAGGATGAACCGGAGTAACTTTGATTGCTCTGACTGCAATTTATGATCATATACTGTAGCTGCAGAACTAATGCTTACTAACACACACACACACACACACACATTATACCTGGTCAAAACATCTGCATGTTTGCATTGCCATACAAGCATGCTATGTTGTTGATGAGTTCTTATAACCTATAACCTCTAACAGATCTTACGCTGGCGTATCCGCAGGGCGTCCTGGTGATCTTCTCGATGGACTCCAGGGCGTCGAGGCCCAGCTGGAGGTAGGTGTGGTCGCCTGTCGCCCTGAACAGGTACATGGCGCTCTCTATCAACTCTGAAACAAATGAAACACCACACAGAAAATCTTACTCTATATGTGTTTTAACAATCAGGGAAGTTTAGTGGTCAGCTGCTGCAGAGAGCAGAGTCTGCCATACTTTAAGGTTTAAGAAGAATTACACACCTGAAAACATTTATTTTACACTTTTGAATCATTCAGATTGAAGTTAAATCTAGGTTATTTTTTTAATAAGTCTTAAGAAAATGTAACCAAAATAGAGACGCTCGAACCCTGGAAGTCGAACAAACCCATTAAATCCCATTAAAACCAACATTATTTATCCTGTAGCCATAACAGCATCATTTATAAGTTATAATATATCAGGCTTTTAATGTAGAGCCATAGCTTCAACACTGTAGTTTCCACTACTCTCCACCAGACTGAGACATTTCTTATGTTTGCCCAAAGGTGCCAATACGTGTTATTGTCCTAGTCTCCACTAGGGGTATCGCTGCTGTATAATGTGTTTGATTCGATGCATCAAAATCAATGTTGTTGCAAATCATTGAAGACTTAATTAAACATAAAATAATTAAGTGTTGTGGGGACATTATGTTAACAAACTAAAAGTCAAAAGGGTTAAAATTGTTTGATTGAATATTTCTTAGTTATTATCAGGACTGATGTTGGTTTTAAAGTAATAATAATAATTATATACATTTATGGCTGTTGTTTGGCAACAGCAGTAACAGTTTTAAAGGGAAGTGTTAACATGTCTAATGATGTCTCTGTGTGCTGATATTTTTACACTCTTTATTTGCAGCTGATTGCAGGTAATAGGTGGGTGGTCTGACCTGGTCTCAGTGGGTATCCCTCTCTCTTGTCCACAGTGTAACCCTGAGGGATGCTGTAAAACTCCGGCAGACCTCCAAACTGTCTCCACACGGAGTAATAGTTCTGGAAAGTTCTCACTGCGCTGTCCAGGTTCCCCAGGAGAGACTGCAATCAATATGTATATGATGATATGTGTAAGCCTATGTTAGGAAAAGATTGCATGTGTTAGAAGTGAACTGTTTGTACCTGAAGACCGGGCCAGAAGGCCTCCAGAGACTGAAACACGGGCATGGAGACGGTCCCTTTGTGCATCTGGACCCACAGGTACCAGTCGTCAAACCTGGTGTAGTTCTGAATGGCTCGATCGTACTCTGAGAATACACATCACATGGATGTTAAAGGTCCCCTATTACACTGTTTTTCATCAATATATTAAAGGTCTCAGATATATACAAAACATGTCTCTGAAGTGTTTGGCTCCAAACACCAAACAGATCATTGCAGCATCCCATAATCCCCTCTGTTTCAGCCCTGTTTCAAAAGTGCTGATTCTCTGTCTGTTACTTTAGATGAAAATAAGGAGCCCCTCCCCACGCCCCTCTGAGAGATATTTGGTTACAAAGAACACAATATATAGAAATGGATCAGGACAAAAAGTGAGAGAATCTTTGTTCCTGAAACTTTCTGAATCTCTTTACACAGAGGGGACACATGTTGATGTAGAAGAGACATGAACAAGTGGATTTTGCATAATAGGTGACCTTTAATTTAAATGTATTTAGCCTTTGTTTTCCATTATCTTTCCATCTGTCTCACCCAGGAACATGTTGAGCAGCTCCTCGTCCTGCAGCAGGATGGCTCCTTTCACCAGATACTCAAAGTAGGAGTCCACCCCCGCTCCGATACCGGCGTCCTGAGCCACCCACTTCTTAGACAGGATGTCAATGTGGTTCCCCACCTGGACAGAGAGACAGACAGGTAGGAGGGACAGACAGGTGTCAGAAAAAGTATTCAAATACTTTAGCTTTCTCCATTGAAACCTGTACTTCCACAGGTTTGTATTTTGATGGCTCTTATATGCTTTTCTGTACTGTTAACATTCTGTTAACAGAATGTAAGTTAAAAATCTGTTTTTATGCAACATTTAGCTTGCATACTTTATTATATAATTTTGTAACCTCTCTTGAACTTAATGAGAGAACTCCATAGAGATTTCAAATTTCTTTTTTTAAGTGAGTCCTGACCAAAAAAGGCTGCAGATTAAATAAAAAACCACAGTTACAAATACAAAATCAAGCATGAGGAAACCACATTCACCAGATCACCAGTACCTTTTAAAATAATCATCATCATGTTTTTTATATATTTTTATATATCTGAGACCCAGAATATATGCCTAAAAATAGCATAATAGGATACCTTTAATATATTAATTTAAAAAACGGGGAGGAAGATACATTTCTGCATCTGAAGTAAAAACAGACGTAGTTACCAGCCCGATGTCAGATCTGGTCTTCCACAGGGCCCTCAGGGCTTGTCGGGCTGTGTTCTCAAACGTTGGGTCTCCTGTTAGTCGGCTCAGCGTGGCGAACTCCAGGATGAAAGTTCCCACGCCGGCGGTGCAAGTGACCGGCGTCTCGGTGGCACTGACGCCCTTCAGCAGGTTCACCGTACCGTACGGCATGCCCGTGGGAGTCTGGAACGCTGAAATCACAAATTAAAGGTCACCTATTATGCAAAATACACTTCTTCATGTCTCTTCTACATCAACATGTGTCCCCTCTTCTTCATGTCTCTTCTACATCAACATGTGTCCCCTCTTCTTCATGTCTCTTCTACATCAACATGTGTCCCCTCTGTGGAAAGAGACTCTGAAAGTTTCAGGAAAAAAGATTCTCTCTCTTTTTGTCCTGATCCATTTATATAAAAACCTGTCTGAAAATGAGCTGATCAGATTTTGGCCACTTTATGATGTCATAACGATGTTTTGGTTTGTGTAACCATTAGCCAATCACCAACCAAGGTAACCCCCCCCCCCCTTATCACCTGAATCTCCTCCTAGAGCACCATTGTGTTCTTTTTAACCAAATATCTCTCAGAGGGGCGTGGGGAGGGGGTCCTTATTTTCATCTAAAGTAACAGACAGAGAATCAGCACTTTTGAAACAGGACTGAAACAGAGGGGATTATGGGATGCTGCAATGATCTGTTTGGTGTTTGGAGCCAAACACTTCAGAGACATGTTTTGTATAAATCTGAGACCTATAATATATTGATGAAAAACAGTATCATAGGGGACCTTTAAAGTATTAATGAAGATTGTGTCATCTGTGACGACTTCAAATCATATTTTCTGTCCGACCAACAGTCATATATCAAACAAAGACGCTAGAATCATCAAGTATTAGCTTTTTGTGTTTGATAAATAACCTTCTGCATGCTGTTATCACAGTATTTGGTGGTTCATTTCCTGTAAATCGCCTTATTGAAACAGTTCTTTCAGCCTTGGTTGTAAATGACTATTAGTGAAATGCTTGTGTTTAGAGATGTAAATGCAGGCATGTAGATGCTGTTGCACTGACTGTTGGTGGTGGATATGCAAAGTGATGTTTTTCCTTTCGTCACATACACTGTACCTTACAGTATGTCTAATTCTTGTACACGTATACATGCAGCTGAACCCTAAAATACCTCCCAATGTGTGTGAATGTCCTCTGCCATCGTGTTTGAGTTCTTTTTAAAAAAAACATTATTGAACAATTTTGCAAATACATCAGAAAGAAGCACATCACATTAGTGTTCAATAAATGAATTCAAACTGAGGGCGTTATGAAACAAAAAACTGAAATAAATAAAAGAAACAGATACAAAAAAATGTACATAGAAAAACTATGAAATATTTTGTTATATTATTAAATTGAAGGCCAAATTTGATATTATCATATGTTAAGACTTGAATGTTTTGCTCATTGTAAGTTAAACAATACTGGAAAGCATCCCAAAATGTTTGAACTACTGTGCAGCAACCGTGTTTAAGTTCGTGCTAGACTAGATCTAACAAACAGACATTTCCTCAAAGCTGACCGCGGGTTATACATTTGTTAAAATTTGCATTTAGTTTGGTTTGGAGGCACAACATCCTGGTCTGACCTTTCATTCTTGTGTCTTATATTTGAATTCACTGTGTGTGTGTGTGTGTGTGTGTGTGTGTGTGTGTGTGTGTGTGTGTGTGTGTGTGTGTGTGTGTGTGTGTGTGTGTGTGTGTGTGTGCACTTTTTAACCA